ATAAAAGTGTTGCTAATAATTTTACTATAAAAAATGTATTGTTGGTAATTTTGCTATAAAAAAAATTTGCTAGTAATTTTACTATAAAAATGTATTGTTGGTAATTTTACTATAAAAAGTATTGCTAGTAATTTTACTATAAAAAAGTATTGCTAGTAATTTTACTATAAAAATGTATTGTTGGTAATTTTACTATAAAAAAAGTGTTGCTAGTAATTTTACTATAAAAAAGTGTTGTTAGTAATTTTGCTATAAAAAATATATTGCTAGTAATTTTACTATAAAATGTGTTGCTAGTAATTTTACTAAAAAATGTATTGTTGGTAATTTTACTATAAAAAAAATTGCTAGTAATTTTACTATAAAAAGTGTTGTTAGTAACTTTACTATAAAAGTGTTATAGTAATTTTACTATAAAAAAGTGTTGCTAGTAATTTTACTATAAAAAGTGTTGCTAGTAATTTTACTATAAAAAGTGTTGCTAGTAATTTTACTATAAAAATGTATTGTTGGTAATTTTACTATAAAAAGTGTTGCTAGTAACTTTACTATAAAAAGTGTTGCTAGTAAATTTACTATAAAAATGTATTGTTGGTAATTTTACTATAAAAAGTGTTGCTAGTAATTTTACTATAAAAAGTGTTGCTAGTAATTTTGCTATAAAAAGTGTTGCTAGTAATTTTACTATAAAAATGTATTGTTGATAATTTTACTATAAAAATGTTGCTGTTAATTTTACTATAAAAATGTTTGCTAGTAATTTTACTATAAAATGTATTGTTGGTAATTTTACTATAAAATGTGTTGTTAGTAACTTTACTATAAAAAAAATTGTTGCTAGTAATTTTACTATAAAATGTATTGTTGATAATTTTACTATAAAAAGTGTTGCTAGTAATTTTACTATAAAAATGTGTTGCTAGTAATTTTGCTTTAAAAAAAATGTTGCTAGTAATTTTACTATAAAAAATGTATTGTTGATAATTTTACTATAAAAATGTATTGTTGGTAATTTTACTATAAAAAAGTATTGCTAGTAATTTTACTATAAAAAATGTTTGTTGGTAATTTTGCTATAAAAAAATGTTGCTAGTAATTTTACTATAAAAATACTATTGTTGGTAATTTCTTAATAAATATCTATTGCTGGTAATTTTTTTATAAAAATGTATTTTTAGACTTTTTTAGTGTTGCCTTGATTGTCATTTTGCTATAAAAGTATATATTGTTGATAATTTTACTATAAAATATTTTGTTAGTAATTTTAGCATAAAAAAATACTTATTGTTAACCGATAGCTACCTAAAGGTCTATTGCTGGTAATTTTTTGAACCTGGGAATAACAGTATTTTTAGACTTTTTTAGTGCTCCTCAAACCGCCTTGATTGTCATTTTGATAAAAAAGTAATATTTTTTGTCAAAAATTTTCTATAATATTTTTATTTGTATTGTTAATAATCTTTTTCAGAAAAGTATTGGGAATAGTTAACTGTTTGCTCATAGCTGGGACCCTAACAGGTGCTACCACCCCAGGTTTGGTGGACCTGGGAATACCATCAATTAAGAGGTGGTTCGATCAAAATCTTCTGAAAGGCCTTGCCAATGGACTTTATCGATTAGAGATAAAATCCAGATTGAATATTTTTTTGTTCAAAATCTGTTTGAACATTCAGCATTCAATATTGGATTCCTTCAAAATTTTCTATTCATCTGGTAAATGGCAAATTCTTCTTTTGTCTGAAACCCTTCTAAGCCAGTAATTGCCTACTATTTGCAAGATGATCAATAGGATTGGAATCCCCCTTTTTTGGTGCTTGAACATCCATCATTGGGTTTATCTTATTTGGAGGAGACCAGTTAAAACACCATTCAATTAAGAGGTCCATTCCAATAAACAAAAATTCCTTCTGATCAGAACCTCTATAACCTGGATCACATTTAGTTTATCGACATATTATAACTTTTAGAATCAGGATGATCCCAGGATTGAAAATCTGCCCTTTATCTCATGTTTGAACATCCAGCATTGAGATTTGTTTCCAGATGAAGAGGGAACAAATAAAAATTCAAATCTTCTCATATTTTCTATTCATCTAAATAAATAAACGTCAAATTCTGTCTGTCTGTGTGTCCGTGTGTCTGAAAACCTTTTAACTCAGGACACACTTGCGAAGATATTAAAACTTTTTGGAATCAGGATGATCTGGAGACTGAAAATCTTGCTTCATCCAGCATTGTGATTTGTGTCTGGAACAGTTAAAATTTCAAATTTTAAAATGACCGAAAAAAAATTTACTGATTATAAAAGTTTTTAATTTGTATTGGTTTTAAAGTAACACAAAAACCTGTGTGAATTTAAAGAAAATGTTTTAAATTCAATTCAAAATATTTTACAATCTAAAAATATTTCCTGGCTTTATTTTCTTTTTTTTCTTTTTTTCCTACGTTGTTTTTTTTTTTTTTTTTGTTGTTTGTTTCTTTTTGTTTATTTGTTTGTTTGTTTCTTTGTTCGTTTCCTGGCTGCAAAGGGTTGATAAACCGTAAAAAACAAATCAATCAAGTTTTCTCGAGTGCGTATCGAGATACTTGTGCTCGCCCTAAATTGAAAATGGGCGTGGTTACCCGGACTGTAAGTACTTTTAACTGGCAAATGTATGCAGTGCTTTTCGCAAAAGCTGTCGCCATATCTCGCAAATTTGACTGCGCTGTATGTGTCCGGTATACCTTTTCAAGACTTGGTGTTATGATAAGTACATGGGGTTTCGTATATTTGTAAACAGCAGAAATTTTTCGTCTGTGATTCAATAATAATATTAATAATGATAACAAGTATTACCCATAAAGAATTCATTTTAATATGATGCTGTATCATAATATGGAATAAATTTAATAAAAAAGAACTCTTTTCGACTTCCAACTATATAACATATACCTGTAGAAATGCTCCTGGTACAACATTAAATATGTGAACTTAATTACTTTGACCAAGTGTTGCCGTAACAATCATAATATTGAACACAGGTCATTATTTAAAGAAAGAAGTAAGAGGGTACAAATGAAAATATCTGAAAATTTCACTAACGAAGCCGTTAACCACTTCAGAGCGTTATTACTATTTTCTTTCTCTATTTGTTTCTTTGTTTCTTACTTTGTTTGTTTGTTTGTTTGTTTCTTTGCTTTTTGTTGTTTCTTTCTTTGTTTCTTTCAGTTTTTCTTTCTTTGTTTCTTGTTTCTTTTTTCTTCAATTGTTTCTTCTTCTTTCCTTTTTCTTTGTTTTTTCTTTCTTTGTTTGTATCTTTCTTTGTGTCTGTCATTTCTCTTTCTTTTTGGTTTATTTCTTTTTCTTGCTTTCTTTCTTTCTTTCTTTCTTTTCCTTCGTTGTTTGTTTCTTTCTTTTTTGTTTGTTTCTTTTCTTTTTCTTTCTTTCTTTCTTTCTTTCTTTTTTCCTTCGTTGTTTGTTTTTTCTTTTTTCTTTTTTTTTTGTTTGTTTGTTTGTTTGTTTCTTTCTTTCTTTGTCTGTTTTTCTTTGTTCGTTTCTTTCTTTTTTCTCTGTTTAATTGTATGTTTCTTTGTTTCTTTCTTTGAAACCAAACAGCTTCTCTGCTACGCCTTTGCAGGTTTTCTTCTCGATCATTATTTATAAGATATTGTCAGAACTTTTCATTCCTTTGTTTTTTTCTTCTTCTTCATTTCTTTTTCTTTTTATCACTGAAACCAAACCGCGTCTCTGATATGTATTTTCCGTTTTCCTCACATTCAAATCGGAATAGTTCATTATTTATGGGCTACTGACAGGATATGACAATTCTTTCTTTCTTTCTTTCTTTCTTTCTTTCTTTCACTAAAGCCAAACGGTGTCTCTGATATGTCTTTCTCGTCTTTCCTCACAATCAAAATAGAATTCTACACTATTTATGAAATATTATCAGAACTTGAGTTTCTTTTCTTTTCTTTCTTTCTTTCTTTCTTTCTTTCTTTCTTTCTTTCTTTCTTCCCTGAAACCAGACATCGACTCTGATATGTCTTTTCAGTCTTTTCACCATGATCAAATCGGAATATTTCATTATTTATGGGCTTCTGACAGGGCAGAACATTTCTTTCTTTCTTTCCCTAAAGTCAAACGAGTCTCTGATATGTCTTTCCCGTCTTTCCTCGCGATTAAATCGGAATAGTTCATTATTTATGGGGTAATGGCAGGCCATTTCTTTCTTTCACTAAAGAATCAGCGCCTTTAATATGTGTCTTCCGTCTCTCCTCAAGATCAAAACAGAATTCTACACTATTTATGAAGTATTAGCAGAACTTTTCTTTCTTCTCTTTTCTTTCTTTTTTTCTTTCTTTCTTTCTTTCTTTCTTTCTTTCTTTCTTTGAGTCTAAACCTCGACTCTGATATGTCTTTTCTGTCTTTCTTCACGATCGAAACAAAACTGTGCATTATTTATGTGGTATTGCCAGAGTGTAATGCACTTAATAAGGGACTAAGGAAGAAGCTGAATTACAATAACTAATGTAGCACCACCCGTGGAGTACAGCAGGACCATCTCTTCACGCAATGCCGGTCTTCTTTGGTTTCCGTTCGTGTTAGTCTAGCTCGCACCGCGTCCAACATGCTTTGTATTAAGAGATGTCCTTCTCCCGGAACGATAGCCAACCAAGGCTCAATAGAGCCCAGTCTAACTTGCTATCAATCCCTAACTGGGAGGAAAGAGATGGTTTTCATACCTTTTCAAGGATTTTTGTATGAAAACGAAAGCATATGTCTCAGCTGGAATTTGAACTCGACACCGCGCCGATAAGTACCTTGCTGTAGCTACATCCCGTTAAACTTATAATCGACGTTAAACAACCCGACAAGAGTTGAAATATCGTTAAACATACTAAGCTAACATATAATTCACCTGTTTCAGTCTCTTATAAAAAGAATGATTGTTTACGTAGACCAAGGTTTTCTAAATTTGGTATCCTCAATCAGGAAAGAAACAAAAGAAATATATAAAAAAATGGCTGTTAACATATCGATTAAATTCGTTGGTTTTCTCGCTGTTTCTTTGATTGTTTCTTTCTTTCTTTCTTTCTTTTTCTTTGTTTCTTTGCTTTTTTGTTCTTTCGTTGTTTGTTTATCTGCTTGTTTCTTTCTTTCTTTTTTCTTTCTTTCTTGTTTGTTTCTTTTTCTTTATTTTTCCTTTTTCTTTTTTCTTTCTTTAGTTCGTCTTTTTTCTTTCTTTTTTCTATGTTTATTTCTTTTTTCTTTGTTTTTTCTTTCGTTGTTTGTGTCTTTCTTTGTTTCTTTCTTTGTTTCTTTTTTGTTCATTTCTTTTTCTTTCTTTTTTCTTTCTTTCTTTCTTTCGTTCTTTCTTTTTTCTTTGTTTTTCTTTCTTTCTCTGTTTCTTTCTTTTTCTTTTGTTTTTTCTTTCGTTTTTGCTTCTTTGAAGGCGGCCATATTTATTCGGTTGAAACAGCTTCGTGCGAGCCTTTCATGGCTCGTCGGAGAGTATCTCCCTAATAGTGGCGTCGAGCTGGCCAGACGCTTCCGTGAGCCAATCAGGAACACTGCAGCTTTCGTCTATTTACGCATGCGTACCAGACAATCTTCACCAAGCTTAGAGAGTTGCGTGCTACGAAGAATTTTGGGAAAGATTATTACGTCGTTAGAACAATTAACATTAACTAACTTGGCATTCAAGGAGTTCTATACACACATAAAGATACTGACACACGGATATTAACACACACACACACACACACACACACACACACACACACACACACACACACACATATATATATATATATATATATATATATATGTATATAATACAACATTATATAAAATATATTTTTTGTTATATAAAAATAATAATAATTATCCTAATGGCTTGCTTCTTCATGGTCAATGCTCTGCCCGCCCCAAATAAGTTGATGTAGGCAAACCCCATACAATACTCGCTCGGCCCGGTGGCTAGGATCAAAGTGTAGTATCTGTCGAACTCTCTGCTTGCAGAGAGGAACCAGGACGGAGCTCCGCCGAAGGGTAGAGTTTCGTTGGGGGAGGTTGACGGAACTGGCCCGCCTCGGCGGGTTTGGATGGTTATTTATTTTTGGCTGGGCCTACGGGTTCAGAGCTACCCACATTAAAAAGGCCTTGTGCCACGTTCGATCCCCGTGGGTGGATTGATAAATACCATCAGTAGCTACGTAGTGAAGACGAAGGACCTGTGCTTGCTAACTAGAAATTACCAAGCACACGTACTAAAAAATTGTGTTAACCCGAAATGAGGATTCTGTGGTAAACGTCCAGAAACAATTGACCATCTTGTATCAGGTTGCACGGTATTGGCAGCCACTGAATATAAAACCCGGCATGACAGAGTGGGCCAATATCTGCATTGGAAAATCTGTAACTTTTACGGAAAGGAAACTGAAAGAAATTTGTATGAACATCACCCAGGCCCGATAACAAAAATACGACCTGTATGGGACTTTAAAATACACACAAACAGGACAATCAAATCTAATCCCCCTGACATCGTGATTAGAGATCGCAAAGAGAAAATGTGCCTCCTTATTGATATGGCCGTCCATGCAGATCTTTGAAGTTCTTCAACAAACTATCAAAATACAAGGATCTTGAAGTGAAATTCTCAAAAATGAAGCACATGAGGACATCAGTATTTCCAGTTGTAGTTGGAGCACTTGGATTGATTGGAAAAGATTCCGATAGACACTGAAGAGATACAGCTCACACATTACGAAAAGCTTAAAGAGTTAGGCTGTTTTTTTTTGGGGGGGGGGTTGTAAAAAATGATCAGTGGAAAATGTCATGAAGCCATTTCTGACCTTAGGTCTCTGGATGGGACCCGGAAGGAAATGTGCACAGAAAGGAAATAATACATACATACATACGTACTATAAATTTGGTATAAGGGATAAGGAAATTGAACATAGAATAGTCTGCGCCTAGGATAGTTTCGCACAATACCACCACTTGCTTCAAAGATCAAACATTAACTCGGTTGCATACAAAAATGGTGCTAGTTTTATGAAAAAATGGCTGTAAATACGGCAAATATAGTTAAAACAATCATTAAGTCAATTTAATGAGTGGAGACTATGCTGATATGATAGATATTCATAATTAGCATAAGAATGATCGAACAAAGAAGCAGAATCCTCTATCAAGTTTTTCAAGAAGTAGGGCTCATGATAAACCTTTCCAAACCAAAAAATTCAGGATGAAGAATTAGCAAATACTAAACGCTTCAAATACCCCGGTGTATGGATCAGTTAGAAAAAAATTTAGTAGAAGGAAATTGAACATAGAAGAGGCAGTGCTAAAGGAGTTTCGCGCAACAGCATAAATTGCAACAAAACTAATAATTTAACCTTAAAATTCGAGCCGTATTCTTAAATAGCCTGGTAGGATCGAAATCTTCATATGGGTGTCATGCATGGCACCAAACCTGTTCAGAAATATCTAAACTACCAGCTGTTGTTATGTCTTTCTGTAAATCATCTAAACATTCCACACCACATCCCAAACGAGTCTACCAATAAAAGACAACGATCCTACTTACCCCCCTCCCGAGGCCAATGTATTGGTGATAAGTGTGTGTGTATGGGGGGGGGGGCTATGCTGACGTCATAGGTATTCAAAGTTGGGATAAGAATGATCTTAAACAAAAAACAAAAAACAAAAAAACTATATCCTCTTCCAGGTATTTCCAGGAATAATACTCAAGATAAACATTTCCAAAACAGAAATTATGATCTGGAATTTGAATAAAAGCAATGATGGCAGATAATCTGAATCCATCATAAACATTTACAATGTGGATTTAGTAAATACTAAACACTTAAAATACCCCGGTATATGGATCAGTTATAACAAATTCAAAATAGGAGATCCATAATCATCTGAGAGACCCCTCTCTGCCTTCCATCAGCATAGCTGATGCTAACCTCCAGAAAAGTCACTCGTTGCGCTATCTCAGGCTAGCGTTCTCATCTGACATGAAGTGGAAAGACTCTATTGAATCTATTGCTAGGTCAACTTCTAAAAAAGTTAGTTTAGTGTATCGTCCGAGACAATTTTTCTCTCTAGAATCTATCTTATATATTTATAAGTCTACCATTCGTCCATGCTTCGAATATTGCTGCCACATATGACCCGGTGTCCTTGATATTTACCTGAAGCTCCTTGATAAAATCCAAAGAAGAATCAGCAATATTATTGGTCCTGATCTGGCTATTCGGCTTCAGTCACTTTCCCACCGTCCTAAGGTTGCCTCTCTGTGTCTTTTCTATAAATACTTTCATGGTAATTGTTCGAATGAGCTCTTCATTATGGTAAATATGGAGACTAGTTAGTATTTTCATAGAGACAAAGAGGTATTATGGTGGTTGTAGTAAGAAAGGTACGTATGAATGTGTTGTTTTGGTGCAAGGAATATAGTTCGTACAATTGGGTCAGTGTTTGCGGCTAGCTAAGTTATAGTTAAGACAGAAAAGACCGTCCTTTCCCCAATCCCCTTTTCGACCTTGTGCCTAAATATCGCTCTTCATTATGGTAAATATGGAGACTAGTTAGTATTTTCATAGAGACAAAAAGAGGTATTATGGTGGTTGTGTAAGAAATACGTATAGAATGTGTTGTTTTGGTGCAATATCGCTGATTGGGTCATTAGCTGTTATAGTTAAGACAGAAGAAGAGTTTTTCCCCAATTTTCGGCCTTTTGGCCAAATTTCTGTAGAGAACAGAATAAATAGATTAAATACGGCGAATATAGATAAACCAATCATTAAGTCAGTTTAATGAAGAGAGGCTATGCTCATGACATAGGTATTCGTAGTTGGGATAAGAATAATCTTGAACAAAAAAATCAACATTCTCTTCCAAGTGTAACAAGAAATAAGACTCAAGATAAACCTTTCTAAAACAGAAACTGAGGATTTAGAATAAGACTAAAAGCAGTCATGGCACCTATATTAGAAGATAATGCCATAATCTATTTGTTAGGGAGCCACACAACTTCAAAGGAAATGTTAGGAAAAAAGGCCCATCACTATTAGATAGCGTGATAACAGTTACTGGACAGACTTTAGAAACCTATTTTCCTGAAAAAAAAAACCCTCTTTTAATAGGAAGATTTTACAAGTTTCAACTGACAGTTGACTGGCTGCTCGGTTAGTGAATGTTTTTGCTGTTAGAAAATGTGTGGCTGGTAGAAATTAAGATGGCCGCCTTTCGGTGGAAGAAATCTCCTGCGGCCGAATGAAGTCATGTTGTTTTAAAGACAACATTCCAGTCCAAACAAATATCCTTTTATAAGGGGCGATTTTTCTGCTCCTATTCCGTAGTCTTATTCTATTTTCCTACATTTCTTCTTCTTCTTCTTCTTCTTCTTCTTATTCTTCTTTTCTTTTCTTCTTCTCCTCCTTTCCTTTTCCTATTTTCTTTGTCCTCCCCTTTTCTTTTTTCAACCCCCTCTTCTTCTTCATTCGTATTTTCTTTATCCTCCATATTTTTCCTATATCTCTACCTCTTCATTCTTCTTTTTCTTCTTCTCTTCCTCCGCCTCCTCCTCCTTATTCTTGTTCTTCTTCTTCTTCTTTTTTCCCTTATTCGTATATTCTTTGTCCTCCTCCTTTTCATATTTCTCAACCTCCTCCTGCTCCTCCTCTTCTTCATTCGTATTTTCTTTGTCCTCCATCGTTTTTCCTATTCCTGCTTTCATTGATTCATTCATTTATTCATTCATTCTTCTTCTTCTTCATTTTTCACATTCTTCTTTTAAAATACCATTAGTCAATATCTGGAAAATTCTTGCCATATTTGTGCACGATGTCATTCCGAAAACAAATACAGTTTTAAAAAAAAAACTACTTATATGAATGAATGTTCTTCGTACTTATATTTGTCAATATTTATATAAATTAATTGTAAGAAAATGTCTGTGCAACACTAAACACGTTAATTTTGATTATGTCTTCGCACCTATCAATAATTTCAAATTTATCGTATTTACTTTTCAGAATCCTATCATTCATCTGGTATGTCAAAATATCATTAAACTGATAATTTGTTTAGGTTGGTTTATTTAATGAAATACAACAGTTGTTGGGTTATTTAATGTTGAATATAAGTCTTAGAGTAGAAAAATACAATATATTCATACAATATATTCATACAATATATTCATACAATATATTCATACAATATATTCATCTGGTATGTCAAAATATCATTAAACTGATAATTTGTTTAGGTTGGTTTATTTAATGAAATACAACAGTTGTTGGGTTATTTAATGTTTTAAGTCTTGATTAAAAAAGACAAATATTCATACAATATATTCATACAATATATTCATAAAATATTCATACACAATATATTCATCTGGTATGTCAAAATATCATTAAAAAAATTTGTTTAGGTTGGTTTATTTAATTACAACAGTTGTTGGGTTAAATGGAATATAAGTCTTAGAGTAGAAAAATGGTTTATATTCATACAAAATTCATACAATATATTCATACAATATATTCATCTGGTATGTCAAAATCATTAAACTGATAATTTGTTTATATTGGATTTAATGAAATACAAAGATGTTGGATTATTTAATGTTGAATATAAGACTTTGATCTGGTTTAAAAGTACAATATATTCAGACAGATAATATATTCAACCAAATATATTCATAAATATATTCATACAATATATTCATCTGGTATGTCAAAATATCATTAAACTGATAATTTGTTTAAAGTTGGTTTATTTAATGAAATACAACAGTTGTTTTATTTAATGTGAATATAAGTCTTAGGTAGAAAATACAATATATTCATACAATATATTCATAAATATATTCAAAATATATTCATCTGGTATGTCAAAAATCATTAAACTGATAATTTGTTTATATGGATGTTTATTTAATGAAATACAACATATAATTTGGTTTGAATATAAGTCTTAGTGAAAAAAAAATATAAGACAATATATTCATTTAATATATTCATAAATATATTCAAGATATATTCATCTGGTTTCAAAATATCATTAAACTATTAATTTGTTTATAAGAGACAATGAAATCAACACCGAATGTTGAATATAAGTCTTAGAGTAGAAAAATACAATATATTCATACAATATATTCATACAATATATTCATACCATATATTCATACAATATATTCATCTGGTATGTCAAAATATCATTAAACTGATAATTTGTTTTCCGTTGGTTTAGAAGAAATATTGTTGGGTTATTTAATGTTGAATATAAGTCAGGCGGGGCTTACAAAATTAATAGAATGGTAGAAGTGCGGCTTGCAATTGAATAAAAATAGGTAGATAGAGACGAGGCTTACACTGGGGTTCAAATAGCAGACCCAGCGTCGGTTTTTACTTGATTCAAAAAGATAAATATCGGCCCCGTTTATACGAGTATCTAAAAAGTTGACACAAGTTAGGCTTAAACTTAAGTAAAAAAAATAAAGGCTAGTACTGTTTACACGTATGTCGTAAAGGAAGACATAGATCTGGTTTACATGGGTGTCGAAAAGGAAAACATAGATCTGGTTTACACGAGTGTCGTAAAGGAAGACAGATCTAGTTTATATGGATGTCTGTAAAGGAAGATATAGATCTGGTTTACACTAGTGTCGAAAAGAAAGACATTGATCTGGTTTACACAAGTGTCGTAAAGGAAGACAGATATAGTTTACACGGATGTCGTAAAGGTATACATAGATCTTGTTTATACGGGTGTCGAAAAAGTAGACATAGATCTTGTTTATACGAGTGTCGTAAAGGAAGACAGATCTAGTTTACATGGTTGTTGTAAAGGAAGATATAAATCTGGTTTACACGGGTGTCGAAAAGGAAGACAGATCTATTTTATATGGATGTCATACAGGAAGATATAAATCTGGTTTACATGGGTGTCGAAAAGGAAGACAGATCTGATTTACACGGGTGTCGAAAAGGAAGACATAGATCTAGTTTACACGAGTGTCGAGAAGGAAGACATTGATCTGGTTTAACATTGTCGAAAAGGTAGACATAGATCTTGTTTATACGGTGTCAAAGGAAGACAGATCTTGTTTACATGGATGTCGTAAAGTAGAATATAAATCCATTTACGGGTGTCGAAAAAGAAGACATAGATCTGGTTTACATTCTATTCTCTGTCTTTATAAGAGACAGATCAGACCGAAAATGGATTACTGTTGTCATATTTGGTCGGGACCTGCCCAGTCCTCTCCTTCTAGTCCTCTTAGCGACTCCGAGTCTTCCGAGAAGAATTATTTTCCACCCTCCAACCTCTGTCTCACAGGCGGGGCTTGGCAAGTCTCTAACTGCTCTGTCACTACTTCCATGGAAAGTGCTCGGACGAACTGCATTCCTTGGTTCCGACAGGTTTAACCTTCAAGGCCAGGAACCGCCATGCCACTTACAGAGTAGTAAACCATCCACATTCTCTCAATATTCCATAGGCAAGAAGTAAGTTCCTCGAACAGCTTCTTCTCACGGATTATTAAAAAATCTCCGACACCCAAGAGGATGTTTCCCCGATCACTACAATCATAACCTTTTTCTAGTGTCAACCATTACCTTCCCCTTCTATACCTACTAACGTAACCGAGAGATGTCCTTGGCCCTTGTACTGGGTGAAGCTTACTATAACCAAAATTGACAGTTTAAATATTTCTGAAAGAGTTTGACACGATTCATGATATTCATATGAAAATAACGATCTGACAAGGCTATTTAATAAAATGACTCTGTCGAACAATCACATGGTCAAGATAAACAATCAGTTGTGGAGCAAGCTGAGTGAATACTAATTCAACAAGAAAAAGAGCTATTTATGGTTCCAATGGAGCATCTCATTATGCTAAAGTGGGATAGTCCATTGCTTTTTTTTTGGCTGCTGGTACCTGAGTGGAAATTTCTATATAAATACCAGCTTGATTTCAATTTTTCAGGGTTTGTAAAGAAGAAACCTGCTTTATTTTTGTCTGCCAGCTGGACGCTAGCTGGGACTCTTACGCCGGTAAGTGTTGTTTATTGTATTGATATTCTACAGACTCTAGTTTTAAAGTTAAGGTTTTGGTTATGTAGCAAGTGGAAGTTTTGTGCAAAACTACCACCAGCGCAGAGTATAGAATTCTCTAGCGCAGTTTATGGATTATTAAAAATCTCGATATCGGAAATAGAATTTAATTTTGAGTGTCTTTTGTTGTCTTTTTTTAACTTTATTCTTTTTAAGTAAGAAGTACGTAGATATGTTAAAACCAAATTTAAATTTAATGGCGGTAGTTAATATTCGCGGGGGTGTTGCTGTCTGCTTTAGGGGGAAGTGAAAATTAAGTGGAGATTAGAAAAAAGAGAAGATAAAAGAAATTCTCAACGACTTACAACAAGAAAAAAATATTTCTCTTCCTGTTCCATTCTTCGCTGTCACAATCGAAACTTTTTTTTTGTTTTCGAGGTCGTGAAATTCCATCTCGTCAACTTCAATTTATCAGTTGAAAAGAAGAAAAAAGTAGTTCTAAATTCGGTGGCGTCGATAAGTGTCTTTGATGTGAGTTGGTGATGCGTCCGTTCCGAGCCGAATCACATGCACATTAATATGGCAGCGAATCGGATTTATTACTGAATGGAAGACGACATTGAGACAAAGACGAGTAGTAACCAAATACTTCAGAAATGGATAAAATTAAAATTGATCTTTTATTTTATTTTCTGAACTTTTTATTTCTTCCTTTAGTTCAACGTATGCACCAGTGACACTATGGCAACAGCTACCGCTTCTTTCGTTATCTTTCGCAGCACCTCCTCCTCCTTCTTCTTCTTCTTCTTCCCCTGTTTTTTCTCCTTCTGTGTCACTAAGTTTATTTTTTATTCTCTACTACTTTTTCTTCTACCTCCATTTTTCTTCTCTTCTTTCTTATTCTCGTTTTTCTTTTTCTTCTTCCTCCTTTTCTTCCTTCTCTTCCTCCTACTCTTCTGTTGTTCTTCTCTTTCTCTTTATTCCCATTTTTTTTTTTCTTTTCTTCCTCCTCACCTTTCTTTTTTCTTCTCTTCCTCTTTATTCTCTTTTGTTCTTTCTCCTTCTTTTCTTCCTTTTCTTCCACCTCCTCTTCCATTTTTCTTCTCTTCTTTCTTATTCTCGTTTTTCTTTTTCTTCTTCCTCCTTTTCTTCCTTCTCTTCCTCCTCCTCTTCTGTTTTTCTTCTCTTCCTCCTTATTCTCATTTGCCTTTTTCTTCTTCCACCTACTATCCTACTTCATACTACACCTATTCCTCTTCCGCCTCCTCATTGTTCTTTTTCTTCTACGTCGTTGTCTTCTTCTGTTTAATTTTTATTCTCTTTTTCTTTATTCTCATTTTTAAAAATATCTGATCCACGCCCTTCTCTTTTTTACATTTTTCTTCGGTACACTATTTACATTACTCGGACTATTGTCCTCATCGTTGTCGCCATATTTATTACAACATTTCAGCCATTGTACACTCCGGCCTTCTTCTGGTGGTTGGAATTTCAAACTGAACCCTTTATTAAACTCACTGGGGTAGACTGTTCTAGTTCCCCATACCATGTCTAATGGATGTCAGTTATCAGTTATCTCCTGTTAATTCCCTTCTCCAAGTTTTCCACTGCCTTATTGAACTCACACTCTTTGGGTTCTGTTACTAGATCTAACTAACGCCTTTATCCACTGTGCCATGTGTCCTTGAGGACATCTGCGTATGAATTTCTGGATATCATAATCCTAATATTTTCAGTAACCATTTTTCTTCGATTTTCCTCTTTCTTTTCACCCACCTTCGTTATAATAGACTTGCTCCTTTAATTAACCCTAAAGAAAAATGTGGCAGAACTCCTGTCTGACCACTCATACATAAAATAGAGACTTACTCTCACTCACCTTGTAAATCGTGTAACAGCGTAATTGTCCATCAATGAAATGTTTAATATCTGAAAACCCTTAAACTAATTCAGTTTCTTTTTTCCAGTTTTTCAGATAAGACGTTTAGACCTCTTGGCACTATTTGTCGTAAGAATCACTGAAAAACACTTTGAGTTATTCAGCTAAAAAGAGAACAGGTTAAAATCGTTTTGTGTCTTCCCAAATGAGCAATGGTGAGAGGAAAAAGATCATTCAGGCCTTCAGTAATAGTACCAACATTCATACTATGGCTTCTAACTTCAAAGCTCATTGAAGAACCATCATAAGAACGGTGAATAAGTTTAAAAAAGAGGGAAACGTAGAGAAGAAAACTGGATCAGGAGGTCACAACAGGAATCATTATTTCAACTTAGAGCTAAGTATATTTTTATTGTTCAAAGTGGAGTCCAATATTGTTATAAAAAAGCTCGGAGAATTCCAGTAAGATATCTTTAATCATTTCTAAGATATAACAGTTCAAAGCTTAATCTAACAATTAGACAATTTTGCTGTTACATTCTGAATATGTGCAAACGTATTTTTTATTTATTTTTTTTGGCAATCGGAAGTTAATCAAGGCGTAACTGATGGCGGATTTTTTTTTCTTTTCGAATTTTTGGATTCTTGCTCGGCTTTTAATGAATTCAAAAAGACGCAAAACGTTTAGACGTGTCTATTCTGTTTCTCTTCAACGATTTCGTATCTTAAAAATACGGTATCAGTGGATGTTTTGAATGCCGGAGTTTTCGGATATTCAAAATGTATCTGAACACAGATATGAATAAGTCATTTATTTTGATAATCAGTTAGGAAGATAAAAAACAGGTGAACAATGTCTTTTGAATGAAATGCAGTATATCTCTCGAATTTTACGTCTAAATCTGTCAATTTTACGTCTAAATCTGTCAATTTTGGTCTGGATTTCTGGAATGAGGATTTATCAGTATTTATTTCATTTATATTCAGAACATGGTCGGCATGATTTTATTCAAAGGTTCAAAAAACTAACTAATGTTTTCAATGGCGTGAAATCCAGACCAACCTGTTTCAATGTTTCAAAATGCAAACTAATTATTTTTTTTTGATTTCTGGGATAAGGAGTTATTATTATTTAAACTGTTTATATTCGGACTATCGACCTCATCATTATTGTTGTTATCACAACATTTCGGCCGTTGTGCCCTCCGGCCTTCCCCAGGCATATGACGATCTTGATAACCTAGAGGGAATTCTGAAGTGAACCCTTTATTAAATCTAGAGGATAGACTGTTCTCGTTCCATTGCACATCTCTAGGGATATCTCGTCTAGTTATTATTTTTATTTAGGACTTATGGCTCACCTGTTTCCACTGATTGCAAGTACACACCTTTGTTGTTAAAACAACGTTTCGGCCTTCATCAAGTGATTGTCGATCCGGGAGTAGACTGTTCTCGTTGAACTACCCATGTCTAGGGATATAGTCTAGTTCTTATTTTTATTTAGTACTGTTCAGTAATTGATTTCCTGTTTCCACTGATTGCAAGTACACACCTTTGTTGTTATCACAACGTTTCGGCCGTTCTGCCCTCCGACCGTCATCAGGTGATTGCCGATCTAGGATTAGACAGTTATTGTTCCACTGCTCATGTCTAGGGATACGTTGTCTGGTTCTTATTTTTTTTTTTTTTAGTACTGTTTAGTTATTGCTCACCTGTTTCCACTGAGTGCAAGGACACACGGCCGAATGGCACAATTGCCGAAACGTTGTGATAACAACAACGATGGAGGGGGGCAATAGTCCGAATAAAAATAGTGTAAAAAAAAGTATGTTATACATCTACCCACATCTTTACAAATTAATATGTCTCGAATCATATTTTTTATGTCTTGGATTCTTTATTTTTTCTAAAAATTTTCACCCATTTGTTGTTTAATTGGTTTAGGAGTAACAAGAGGTTGCGGATAAATAGTGTATTGAACAGTAAATACAACAGAAGTGTGCTACACGACTTGTGAATGTGTGTCGGTTGACCAGCGTTCAGACTATATCACTGTTAATATTTAAAAGCCCCCACCCCACGAGGGATATATGTGGCACAAAGCCGAGTTTAACGTGGGTCATCCGAGCCCGTAGACTCGGCCAAAAAATTCCCGTAGAACCCATATAAACGGGTTCCAGTTTGTCTACCTCCCCGGACGAAACTCTGCCCAAAACCGCGTCCAAAAATGTTCCTCTGACCCAAGACAGAGAGTTCGACAGGAGCTGCAAATAGCCTTAGTAGAACAGTTTAGATCACTGTTAAGGCAGAGAGTTCGACAGTTGAACAGTTTGGAGCACTGTTAATATTTAACAGCCTCCCCACGAGAGATGTATGTGGCACAAGGTTGAGTTTACTGTGGATTCTCCCCTTCCCGTAGGCTCAGCCAATAATATTCTCTTAGAAACGGGTTCAGGGCCTGTATATCTCCTCGAAGGAAATATCGCCCTTCGGCAAAGCCTCGTCCGGGTTCCTCTCTGCCCAAGACAGAGAGTTCGACAGGAGCTGCGAATAGCCTTAGTAGAACAGTTTAGATCACTGTTAATATTTAACAGCACCCCACACACACAAGGAATGTATGTGGCACAAGGCCGAGTTTACCGTGGGTTCTAGGAGCCCGTAGGCTCGGCCAAAAATATTCCCGAGGAACCCGCATAAGCGGGTTCGGGCCTGTCTACCTCCCCGGACGAAACATTGCCTTTCGGTAAAGCCTCGTCCGGATTCCTCTTTGCTCAAGGCAGAGAGTTCGACAGTTGAACAGTTTGGAGCACTGTTAATATTTAACAGCCTCCCCACGAGAGATGTATGTGGCACAAGGCCGAGTTTACTGTGGGTTCTCCCCCTGCCCGTAGACTCAGCCCATAATATTCTCTTAGAAACGGGTTCAGGGCCTGTATATCTCCTCGAAGGAAATATCGCCCTTCGGCAAAGCCTCGTCCGGGTTCCTCTCTGCCAAAGACAGAGAGTTCGGTAGTTGAACAGTTTGAAGCACTTACTTTCCTACTACTTTATAATAAGTGGAAGATTCCACAATAGCTTCATTAGAGAGAGAGAGAGAGAGAGAGAGAGAGAGAGCACACCACAACGTCAATATAAGCCAGGAAAGCCACCCAAAGAAGAATGTTACTGTTAAAACAGTTATGAATAATGAGTTGTGTGATATAAATAATTTTCGTTGCGGCGTAATTGATAACGGATCTGTATGAGAAATCGGAGAGCCGTGTTCGAATTCCAGTCGGGTTTGTTGCTTTCACTTACGCTCCAGTGGCCTTGTTAAAGGTATTGTAACAGAGAATCAGTTCAGCCCGATAAAATACTGCCAGTTGGTTGTATGTGGTGCTTACAGCACCAGGAATTGCGTCCCCTTCCACAATGGGCTGTTGAGAGAAGACCTTCTACTTAGAGTAGGTGGCGCTGATTATTTGCATATAAATGATACTAGGCAGGTATTAGCCAATAGTCAGCGAGGGTCTGGAACTGGGCGAGCTATATAACACCAGTGTGAACTGGACGGTAGGCAAACCAATCTACATCTATTGAAAAATTTCAATGTTCCGGTGAAGAAGTATAGAATTGAAGTAGACTTTACAAGAAACCTGAAACCCAATCATAAACACGACACCAGGGATAAACAACTACTCCTGTTCAAAAGAAAGAAGAGGAGTGTAAACCGGACGATACAAACAGTTCTCAGCATTTGGAATAGAAGTACATTTTGTAGCAATAGCACAGTGATAGTATGAGTATTATGTAGCATATTTAGATATGGATCGTATGAATTCCACTAGAGATCCGGACTAAACTTGAGGCAAAATATACGTTCAAATCAGGATGAAGCATAGGTGAAGGGTTCTCAGTTATTATTAATTTTTGACTAGTATTTCTTTCATCTTATTTCTCTTGCTTTTCCACCAAGTAGTAATAGTCTTAAGTTGTCTTTCTAGAAAGCCTTTCTTATTATTGAAGACTTGTATTTCTTTCATCTTATTATTTGCTTTTCAAAGTAGTAATATTTTTGAATAAATTTATTAGATTCTTTCATTATTATTTTTTTGACTCTTGCTTTTTATTACCTTGAACCAAAGTAGTAATAGTCTTAAGTTGTCTGAATTTCTTAGATGAAGCCTTGGCAATTATTATTGATTTTTTACTTGTATTTCTTTCATCTTATTTCTTTGCTTTTCATGTACCAAGTAGTAATAGTCTTAAGTTGTCTGAATTTCTTAGATGAAACCTTGTCAATTATTATTCATTTT